TTTAATTTGTATGTGCTTGCTGGGTAATCGTCCCAATGCACTTGCACTCTTAATTGCTCTATTTAAATGCGAATACAAATACAAATAAAAATTTACAAGCACTTATTTGATGTATATCCACTATTCACTTTCACTTTCGTTCACTGGATTATTTTCGAACTATTTCGATTTCACCACTATACTCATTTGCTTGTTGGGATGGCTGCTTGCCTTTGCTGCTCTCCCTTTGCTGATTAGCCTGTGCTGCCTTACCTTTGCTGCTTTGCCTGTGTTGCTCTCAATTTGCTGCTATGCCCGTGTTGCTCGGCTTTGCTGCTTTGCCTTTGCTGCTCTTCTTAGCTGTTTGGCGTTCTTGCCTGTCGCTCACTTCACTTTTCTTTGCATGTTTTTTTTTTTTTGTTGTTTGCACTCGCGAAACTGCAGCTGCGTTATTGCTGCTTGCCTTTATTGCTATTCGAGCAATATATGGAAAGGCAGAGTTGAGCGACTAGACTCAAATGAACCACAAGAAAACACAAAAACCGAGAGAGATTGTTGACGCTCCAGACGATTTGACGATTCCAAGAAATTTTTAATGTTATTCGGATAACAGTGTGGTTTTTGTTTTTTTTTTCTTTTTATATGCAAAGTGAAAAATCAGTGCATTTGCCAGGTGTATTTATTGTTGTACTTAAATGAAGTACAATACTACCTGCAGACTTGTGCGTTGATATTGTGGGTAGAGTGCCAAAAATAAGTTTTGGTCTCCACTTCACACAGCACAATGGGTTGAGTACAGAACTTATGAACAAATTACCCAATCCATTGCCTTATAGCTTGCAGAGCACAAATCCAAAATATGTTTGGTTGTAACTTGCGAGTTGCTACATCGAGCAAATTATGCACTTTCACTTTAATTAAAACCAACTTGTTACCTGTAATCCGGCTCGAAGAACCAATGATAATTTGGGTGGTGGAGCACGGTGCTCGTTCGTTCCGTGGTTGTGGTTGGCCATGGTCGGCGCAAGTTATTCCACAAATGTTAAATAAAAAACAAAAGGTTTCTTATAATAAATATATATAAATATAATAAATTGGAAACACACTTACCACGTCCGGATCGGTGAGCGGTCGCAAAAGAAGAGAGCGCGCAACTTGGTTTAGTTGCGCGCGAATTAAACTTCGAAAAAAGTTCGAATGAGAGGAAAAGAAAAGATTGATCTGCCGATACAGACATGGCAAAAGAAATTGGGCGGGGGCGGCGTTAACACTACACATTTGATCGAAACAATAATGTACTGATAGCCCGATGGAACGACAACAGTTGTGACCATAGCATCGAATCATGAGGCAATTGAACCACTGCATCGTGTGAAGCGATCATAAGAGCAAACAATAATCGAATGGGCGGTGTTGATCTCTTCGATAATGCCATGAACAATTATAAAATTTGCGTTGGAGGAAAAAAAATGGTATGGGCCCCTGATAACAAATGGATTTAGTGCCGCAATGTTGAACGCTTGGAAAATACGTTGTGTTCTTGTCAAATATGGGTAGGGAATGTCAAGCACCATCGAAAGATGTATTGCACAAAAAATGAACTATTGGATCAATTACAGTTCCGTATTTATGTTGCAAAATGTTTGCTTCGAATGGCAATATCGTCGATGTCGTCTTCGCATACGTTGAGTCCACAGACAGCAGCTGTTCGAAAATCCAAAGACGCCGCTCTGGAGAGTGTTCGTAAAGACAAAGTTGGACGTGGCATTAACAAATTAGAGAAGCCTCGTCGTTGTCAAAATTGACACAAACATTGGTGATATAAATGCACAAAATGTGATATAGCTCTACATGTTTTGTGCTTCAATCAATTCCTTGAAATATATTGATAAGGTATTGCTCTTTCAAGAAAAGTTTTTCAAAACTTACTTATGACATGTATTTATCTTTTATTGTAAATAAAATGTAATGCGAAATTGAAAAATTTAACAAAATAAAAGTTTTGAATGATAAACTTTAATAAAACACTGTTTCACTTTAGTAAGTATCGTTTTCGGCTGATGGTCGATTTTTCGACCAAATTTCTGTGGCTAAACGGCTTAATGTAAAAATCTACAAAACGTAAAGCATCGAGATTTTTTTATACTAAGCAGAATATAAAGTTTGAATGAAATCAAAGCAGTGGATCTAAGTGCCGCCGGAAATGGGTTAAATAAATAAAAAGCAGATTAGAGATTGAATCGATATTGAATCAGAACTTAATGACAAAAATTACGCACGTTTTCATTGAAGTCCGCGTGTCGGCGGATGGGGCTCATACACAAACATACATATTTACGCTACTTTGTAAACGAAGTTGTTACAGTCGCAAGAAGCGGTGACAATCGGCGATCGGTCACTTATTTTTTTGGCATAGCTCGGTCATTGATGATACCATGTTAAATGGCCAAGCAGTCGCACATCTGCGCATATATTATTATATTATTATTATATATACCATTGTGGTATTTTTATTGAATTTTCAATTGTTCATAAAATTTTTTTTAATGACTCATGCCCAGCTCTTGGCCGATGCTACGGCTGCTACTATGCCGGTCTCTTTCGACCAATTCAGCGATTTTATCGCAATTTTCGACGACAGGCCTTCCGGAGCGTGGCGCATCTTCGACCACCTCTACACCTGAACGAAAACGTTGAAACCATCGTTGTGCAGTGGAAACTGTATCGGGTCCATAAACTGCACAAATTTTATTGGCGGCTTGGGCACGATTCAGATTACTTTGGCGGAGGGGTAAAAAAACCGAATTTCCATATAAATGGGATATGTCCGGATAGGGGAGCTTCTCCAGAGGAGGAATATCCAAAATTAATATAAAAATTACTTATATTTTTTAAAAATTTCACGATTAAATGTTCAAAAATATGCACTAATAACACAAGGTATTTCTCTATCTTGCATTAAATTTATTCACGTTTTTCACTCCGTATATTTAAATATACTCTCTAAACATTGAAATAAATTCACATTTCAATTTTATTTTGTAATATTTCACCTAAATTTATTAATTTAAAAATCACTTAGCGAACTCGGCGTTGCAAAGGTTAGATTGTTTACAATTATGAGGAAAACGAGCGTTGCCACATCTTAAACACCAAATATGTAGGATTCTTAACAATTTTTCTTTGTT